GTTATAAAATTTCAAATAATCCTCAAACGTATAGCCACCAGGATACAGAGCCTCCGCCGCCGGTGAAATAACAGCGTCGCTCGCCGGATTATAAAACGTAGCAATCGACAGCCGACTCCCCTCCTTCTCCGCCAAAACGCGGTGCAAAACGCTCTTATATTTGCCGTTGGTCAGAACCTCGATTTGGTCGCCGATGTTGACGAAAATGGCGTTGTTCTTGGACGGCGGGATTTTGAACCACTCGCCGTCTTTCTGGAACTCCAGTCCCGGGACTTTGTCGTCTTGTAGTAGGAGGATGATTCCGCCGGCGTCGGTGTGCTCTCGGAGCCCTCTCACGAGCTCCGGCAGAGGGCATTCTGGGTATTTCGCTACTTTTGTTCCGACAGAAGGCCCTTTAGTTCCATTGAATAGCTGCTTAATATGTGTCTTTTGCAGGCCAAGGTTCTCGCACATTAATTCTGCAAGCTTCTCTGCTATCATTACCAGCTGAGGTATATACTCTTCTTCCATTGCTTTGCTGTTCGTCTATGATTCGTTAGTTCCTTCACAAAATATGATTTAATTTAGCTAATTTAGAAGGGGAAATTACCAAAGATGATCCGAGATGTTGGGAAATCGAGAGATATTAGAGGTTGGTTTATGGGAAATGAAGAACATCGATTCCCAATCCACATCAGATAAGGGAATTTTGCCCAAGTTTTTGGCCATTTCTGAATCATAAAACTTGTCTTTCATTGTCTCATCATAGTGTGCGTTCACCAATAGCTTCACCTTCTCCAACACAGCTTCTTCAATTCCATGATTCTCTATCTGCGCAACAAGAACACATATCCATTTACATGATGAACACGAAGAACAGATATTCAAAAATATGAAGATGGTACCATAAAGAAGCCCCAATTGAGGCAAGCGTCGTGAAGGACGGACAAGGCTCTGGCCCTGTTGTCTCCGTTCACCTCACTGAAATCAATGGTGGGGATCTTCATCTTCATACCCAAGTGTAGAAGAATGGTGAAACGTGTGGAGTATATATAGGCCTTCCCTTCCCATCTTTTTTATTCTTTGAAGATTACCCTTTTCTTCGTTGTAACGGAAGTAAGATCGACTGTACTCACACACCTATAAACATAAATGAAATAAAGAGACGAAAATTTGTATAGACCTTCATTCGGAGAGAATAAATTCTCAGATGGTAGTAACCAATCACTGTAACAAAAGTGTTTACAAATGATCTCTCGCACGGCAAAGTCTCTCTAACCAAATTTCTCCCAATTGTTTTTAGTTAAATACAAAATGACAATGACTCAAAGTCTCAAAACTTAGATATGTATCCAAATAGTTTATTCAAAAGTTTTCGTGACTGCTCTTGCTTTAATAGACAATGCAATAGTAACTACAATGTTGAACGTCAACAAATAGGTCCATCTGCCATAGTGCACATATAACCAGTAGATACGATTGGATGATGAAAGTCCCACAACCGCTAATAATACTCTCTCTATTAGTATGAGGTCTTTTGGGGAAGCCCAAAGCAAAGTCACAGAGATTATGCTCATAGTGGACAATATCGTACTATCGTGGAGAGTCGTGTTCATCCAATAGACACCAAGTAGATAAATAATTCATCATCAAAGAACCGAAAGATACCACACTTTGGTTACAGTGATTGGCTACCACGGGTGGATGTACGAGAATTTAGTATCTCCCAACCAAATTTTTGTTCATGGATATGTAAGTACAATCGATCTTGTTTCTGCTTCCGCTAGAACATCGTGGCATTAGGATACAAGAGTCAATCAACCAACCAAGAGCATGAATCTAAGTTAAAAAATTCAACTGGGTAATACAGCCTTTTATGATTCTGCGTGCTGCTAACAAAACTGGGCATTCAAAATCATGGAATCAAAAGCTTTGATTTTACGATATGGGTATGAGTTTAAAGGAGTTAGTTTGACCTCAAAACCAGGGACGCAAACCTTTTCAATTCACACATTTCGGCTTTAGAGGGGCAATATTGGAAACACATCATTATTATTTGATTTTCGTAGGCATTAAAATAAAAAGTTTATGTCTAAACACATTGCATCATTTAATTCCTCGCCCATAGTTTAGTTTCCTTTAATTCAGCGGACAAATAAACAATAATTTTAAATTTCCAAGAAATTTATTTTAGTTAAACAAATGGTTTAAATTCCAACTTGGCCCTCTTGTTTTTTTTGTTTTTTTTTTTCATTTAATTTTGTACAAAAATAAAAATAATCAAAATATTTAAAATACAAGCAAATTATTTATTTTAAAGATTAAAATAAGTAATAATTAAGAAACATTTTTGTAAATATTTATTCGTTAGAAGGGTAGTTTTGTAAATTCATCTGATTTAAAAGTTTTATACTAAATTATAAAAAAATAGTTTTTACTTTGCAATTGTTTAAAAAATAGTGTTACTTTTATAAAAAAAACATTCCAAAATTATCTTTATGATAAAAAAAGATTATTCAAAATGTTGTTCTTTTTTACTCGATTTAGACATGAAATAAAAAATAATAATTATTAGAATGTTAAAATTAAAATTTTTGGAAAGAATATAATAATGTTTTAAGTATTTTATTTTAGAATTTAGCATAATTCTATATTTTTGATTTATCTGTTGTTTGTATCGTCGTCGTTTTTAGTTCACTCACTGCACCTCCTAAAGCCGGCTATGCCAGTCGGCAAGCTTCGATTTTCGTGTCAGTCTCCGGCGACGGCGATGGAGCCTACTGCGAACGACGACGAGATGTGGCTGTGGGCGCAGATTAAAGCCGAGGCGCGACGAGACGCCGAGTCAGAACCGGCGTTGGCGAGCTATCTTTACTCGACGATTTTGTCACATTCATCGCTTGAGAGATCGCTTTCGTTTCATTTAGGGAACAAACTTTGCTCCTCTACTCTTCTTTCCACTCTTCTTTATGATCTTTTCCTCAACGCTTTCTCCACTGATCCCACTCTACGATCCGCCGCCATTGCGGATCTGCGAGCGACTCGAGAACGTGATCCGGCATGCGTTTCCTTTTCACACTGCCTCCTTAATTACAAAGGATTCTTGTCGTGCCAGGTTAGAAGTTGCAATTTCCAATTTGCTCATGAATTTGGTGAAATGGCGTTTTTTCTGTTGATTGAATTATTAGGGATTGAAAGCATTTTGCCCTAAATTAGGGATTCTTAGGGTTTTGGTTTCGTGAGATGAAAATTGAATTGTTCGATAGATTTGAACAGACTCTGGAATTGATTCGAAGATTGTGATTTTTCTGAGTTGACGGGCTACTACTACTACCGGATTAAAGCACGAGAAATACAAAAGTAACAATATAATGAATTAAGAATACGGATTTCCTTTTCATGTACTGATTCTTTGTTTGAATATAAACTAGGAACAAGTTCTTTGTTTGAATATAAACTAGGAACAAGTATAACAATTGAATCATATTATGAATTACAACTAAACTATAGAGGGAAAGAGAAGTAACTTCCTTATGTTAAATGCTCTGTGTTTCTTTTGTTTTGAACATTATATGAATATATGGACTATTTGATTTTACTAATACAGTTAGTGATTTCTCTTTTAGGCTCATCGTGTGGCTCACAAGCTGTGGACTCAATCACGCAGGCCGCTAGCTCTGGCACTTCAATCTCGCATCTCCGATGTCTTCGCCATCGACATTCACCCAGCAGCAAGGATTGGGAAAGGCATTATGTTGGATCACGCCACCGGGCTAGTAGTAGGTGAGACTGCAGTGATAGGCAACAATGTATCAATTCTTCACCATGTCACTCTTGGAGGGACAGGAAAGATGTGTGGAGACAGGCACCCAAAGATCGGCGACGGGGTTTTGATCGGCGCTGGAGCCACAATTCTGGGCAATGTGAAGATCGGAGAAGGAGCTAAGATCGGTGCGGGGTCAGTGGTGCTCATTGACGTGCCACCACGGACGACTGCAGTGGGCAATCCCGCACGGCTGGTGGGAGGGAAGGAGAAGCCATCGCAGCTGGAGGACATCCCTGGAGAGTCGATGGACCATACGTCGTTCATCTCGGAATGGTCAGATTACATAATTTGATAGTACTTTATAGCATGAGTGATATGCATTTGCACCTCTCTGGCATTGTCATGGCTGTAGCAGCCATTAGAACAGGATACATCGACCTAGCTTTATGGTTTCCCTTTTCGTATATTTCACACTCTTTTGCCGCCGTACTTCTTGATCAGTCTCTGAGTTTTGGCAAATAAATCAAATACTAATTAGCTTCAAACTAGCATACTCCTTGGTTAGAGTTACCACTTTTTTGTTTTTTTAATTATTTCAAAAAGATTATACTTGTTGAACTAAAATATCAGTTGTTCATGATTCACAGACTCATCACTTGCATATATTTCTTACAAATGTCAACTATTATTCGGGTTATAAGATCATACCGCCAATATTCGAGTTATCATTGTTGGATGATAAAAGTCTCGGCTAATTTAGGGAATGATCATGGATTTATAAATAAATAATACTCTCTCCATTGGTATAAAGCCTTTGGGGAAGCCCACAGCAAATCCACGAGAGCGTATGCTTAAAGTAGACAATATCGTACCATTGTAGAGAGTCGTGTTCGTCTAACATGATATCAAAGTCATTCCCTAAACTTAGTCGTACTAATAGATTGGTAAATCCTCAAATGACGAACAAATGACTCCAAAAGAAAAAGGAGTTAGGCCTCTTCGTAGGCAGTTATCATATACCATTGTGGAGAGTCGTGTTCGTCTAACAATCATATCATACCATACTGTAAATATTCTCATATACCATTGTGGAGAGTCGTGTTTGTCTAACAATCATATCGTACCATAATGCAAATATTCGGGTTAAGCGTTCCTCATTTCAATTTTAGGTTTGATATAACAATTTAAAATTTTAATTACGATAGAATTAAAATATAAAAAAAAAAATCCTGGACATTTATGAAGTCCAGATATTTTGTTTCTACACGTCCGATTATCTCAACAAAGTTCTTGGCCATCTTCTGGGCTGTATGCCCCCACCAACGCTCTTCCTTTTAAGATAACAAAAACAGCACACCAATGGCTTCCTCGATTCCTTCTCAGACCACTCCAAACTCCATTATCACTACCAATTTCACATCGCGAATCATCCCATTTCACTCTCCCGCGGTCAAATCCTTCCGACCCACGCTCTTCTGCCCTAATTCTCTCTCCAATTCCAGCAACCGGAAGCCGGCTCGCCGCTACGACGGCCAAACCACGACGAACACTCTCTCCAAATCTCAGAACCGGACGAGCGATTCAGTTCTTAGTCTTCCGTCGACGGTGGATTTAGTGGCTCTATGCGAGGCGGGTGAGGTAATGGACGTTCTGGAATTTATTGGCCAAGGTGCTAATCTTGATTATGGTATTTGTACAGCTTTGTTGAATTCTTGTTGCAATTTTAAGTTGCTTGAGGCTGGGAGAAGGGTGGATAGGCTGTTGAAAGGGACGAAATTTAGTGGGGATGTGGGATTGAACAATAACTTGATTGAAATGTACTCTTGTTGTGGCTGTATGAAAGATGCGCGTAGGGTGTTTGATAAAATGCCTGACAGGGATATTAGGACGTGGAATTTGATGATCAAGGGGTATGGAGAGAATGGGGAAGGAGATGGTGGGTTGGCCTTGTTTGAGCGAATGAAGAGTGTGGGATTGCAGCCAAATTCTGAAACATTTCTAGTGGTGTTAGCAGCTTGTGCCATGGCTGAAGCTGTGGAGGAAGGTTTATTTTACTTTAACTCGATGGAAAATGAATATGGAATCATTCCTGAAATCGAACATTATTTGGGAGTTGTTGATGTTCTTGGGAAATCTGGCCATTTGATTGAAGCAGAAGAGTTCATTAAGAAAATTCCCATCAACCCCACAGCCAAAATCTGGGATGCCCTTAGAATCTACGCTCGACTCCATGGAAACATCGAGCTTGAAGATCGAGCCGAAGAGCTGATATTCTCTTATGACCCGTCCATGGCGCCCACGGCTGCCAAGCCACCGCTCCTTCCCCCAAGGAAGCAATCGGCCACCAACATGTTGGAGGAGAAGGACAGAGTGAGGGAGTTCAGATGTGCAATGCCTTACAAAGAAGAGGGGGAAGGGGGGAAGCTAAAAGGATTGAATGGACAAATGAGAGAAGCAGGGTATGTGCCAGATACAAGATATGTGCTTCATGACATTGATGAGGAGGCTAAACAGCAAGCTTTGCAATACCATAGCGAGCGGTTAGCCATTGCTTACGGATTGATCAGTACGCCTGCGAGAACGACGCTGAGAATCATCAAGAATCTTCGGATCTGCGGCGATTGTCACAATGCAATCAAGATCATGTCAAAGATTGTTGGAAGAGAGTTGATTGTTAGAGATAATAAGCGGTTTCATCACTTCAAAGACGGCAAGTGCTCTTGTGGGGATTATTGGTAAATACATCAACTGTATATACACAATCATATTTTGGCTTCCTTGGTAATATTGACTCCATTGTTTTTCATTTTCTCGTGTTTCCTTTCTCACTGACTCTCCACAATGATATGATATTGTCCACTCTAAGCATATGACTTTGTTTTTTGTTTCCCCGAAAAGCTTCTTACCAATATTGTCCTCTTCTAACAATTCCCAATAATTTTATGATAGAAAGCGAAGCCATTCCGTCGAGAAGGTCGAGAGTAGATTGAAAGATGAATATTCATGGTAAACATTAGATTTTGAGGATTCGAGTTCTAATGCAAATCTAAAAAATTTCTGGTAAGTAGCGTAACAAATTTTTAATCTAAGTTTTAGTTTTTAAAAACTTTTTGACTTTTGCATGGAATGTAATATAATAAAGGTTTTATGGGTAGAAAATGAGAAAATTTAAGAAGGGGTTGGACATGAGAATAATTAAATAATAAAAGTATTATTAGTCGAAATTATGCAAATAAATATTTAATATTTAATTAGAAATGACAGCACATCCTTAAAATTAAATTTCCTAAAATACCCTTTGGATTAAAATTTTTGTGGGCCGAGGTTAAAAGAAGCAGGCCCAGGGTTGGGTGGAAGAAGTCCTCGCTCCGTAGTCCGTCGTTCCATTGAAATTCTCAAGATCCCAATTCCTCATTCTCTCTTCTTCACGGTGTCGGAGCTCCACTTTCTCCCACTAGCGGCGACAGAAAGGAGGTCAGTTCCTCAATCTCCTCCTCCCTCATCGTCTCTTTTGCTATTTCTTGAAGCTGAACGCCTTTCACATTCTCTTCTATTTTCTGATTTCTAATTTTCTTTTTTCCATCCGTTTCCTCCCCGTCTGATTTGATCCTTGGTTTTGCCTTTTCCTGTATCCTGTGTTTTTCTCTTTCTTTTATATGATCTTTTCATCTTCTCTGTCGTATAAATACTGCGCCTTATTTGTATAATGGTGGAAATCTCTTCTTCTTTTTTTTTTTTTCTATGTCTTTGGATTGTTGTTTCGAATATTCGATATTGGAATTTGATTAGGGTTTTAGCCGTTTGTTAGTTTGAAAATTGACTACACTAAAACTTTCTATTTCCTAAGTTCGGAGGGAAAATGTTTGTGATTTAGGGTGCTATTTATGGCGGAATGGTTTCTCTGGATCTTATTTTCCGACTCATGTGACGGTAGTAAATTTCGAGTTACTCCATTTTGCCTGCTCCACGTTGATTTTTGTGCTTAACGAAGAAACATATTTTGTCACACGGCAGTGGTTTTCTAGATCTCTTTTCACTTCTGATTTTGTCTGAGAAGCCATTTTTTTGGGTATTTATTCATTGTTAGGAACGTCAGGATAATCGATGTTTTGTAGAGGTTGATAAATATGTTCTTGTTTTCGACATGTCTTTAATTTAATTTTTTATCTCTTGGCTGCAGTTTTCTAGCTTTCTTTTGGATTTAATGGCGTCCAAGTTGCATCAGTTGCAATCCAAGGCTTGTAAAGCTTCTCAATTTGCTATCAAGCACGGGTCCTCCTATTACAAGCAGTTGTTGGAGCAGAACAAGCAATACATCCAAGAACCAGCTACTGTGGAGAAATGCAGCTTGCTTTCAGAGCAGTTGTTTTATACTCGTCTTGCTAGGTTATTACCTTCAATACTCATGCTATTCTTGCACCTTTTCCTTGGTTGTTGAAGAATTCCTACCGTTTTCGTGTTCATGTGTTCTTGGGATCATACCTATTAGCTTAGTTTTAGTATCTTACTGGCATTCAACTGATACAATTGTGTTTTAGAAACTCGTCTGTTTCTATATTGATTTCAACTTTGCTTCTAAGCATCGCACCACTTGTTGAACTGCGCAGCCACTCGTGAGAATTATAGTTCATGGACCTGTTTCCATTCATGGAACAGTATACATATTTGTTATTCGTGGGAATGAATCCCCTCTCACCTGTAGCACTGTGCTTAGTATGATAGCATTTTTTTATTCCTAAAATGGGAGCACGAAAGTATCTACTATCGGTGCATGAATTCTGTATTATCCCCCACTCGATGTTCATATCCTAAAATACTTGTCCTAAGCTTCACTTCATTGCTTTACTCACTGATTTTGCACATTATGTTTATAATGCAGCATCCCAGGCCGATATGAATCATTCTGGAAAGAACTTGATTGTGTTAAAAACTTGTGGAAGAACCGGCAGGAGCTGAAAGTTGAAGATGCTGGCATCGCGGCCTTGTTCGGGCTTGAGTGTTTTGCATGGTTTTGTGCTGGTGAGATCGTTGGAAGGGGCTTTACATTCACAGGTTATTATGTCTGAGGACATTCATAGTCATTTGTGGAAGGGATGTCGACAATGGCGAATTCCCTTCTCTTTTCTGCGGGTACTTCGCATATAATTTTTTTCTTTTTCTTTTTAATTAAGTTGAGAATTCTGCGAGCAACTCTGATAGATTAATAATAGCCCATGAATTCCGAGGGGGACTATAAAGGATTCTTGCGTTGTTCAAATTGATGCATGTTCTTGATAAATCCAGTTACTAACTATGAACTGGAAATCTGATTTGGTGAAACCTCCATACAAGATGTGGCTTTTGCTGCAACTTCCCTACATTTTTCTTGGAGCTTTTTCCCAGATGATGTGCCAGGTTGTACGTAGAACTAGAGGTATGTCATTGTGCAATCTTTGTATTTGGGTGTTCCATTCGAAATCTTCAATATCAAGTTCATCTCTCCCATGTGAAAGTTTTTTAAATCACCTCTAGTTTTGAATGGATTTTGGTTTACGTTGAGGATCGGTATATGCCTTGAGAATCAGTAATAATAGCCTATAAGTAAGTTACTTATATGTGCAAATTAGTAGTTCATACCAAAGTTGAGGGGTTATGAAATGGCTTGAGAAAGAAAAAACTTTTGAAATGGTACCATGTGTAGTTTGGTGCATTGTCTATGAAAGACCCCTTTAAAAGGAAGACGCCCGAAATGCTCGCCCATGCTATGACACATGTATGTTCCCACAGGGTAGTTCGTTTAAGCCACAGAGCCTAAGAGTGGTTGAGAGTGGACACCATGTCTACTCCTACATTTTGAGGCATTTTCACTCTTTCTTGAGTAGACGTCATTTTGGAGTGTGGATATAAGGCCTTGGAGATAGTTCGTTGAGTATTTGGTTGACACAAAATTTGGTAAATTTTTATCTTTCATATAAACAAACTTAATTCTAGAATCATAATTCCAACATGTGAAACTCTTGTCAAAAACCCGACTTCTGAGGTTATGGTTGGGGGCCCTATTCTGCCCTCTTCGAGCTTGTCTTCAACACTCGTGTAGCCTCCCCAAAACTAAAACTAAAACTGGTGTATTTAAGTTTACAATCTATGAAATTGAAATTAAATTTATAAATTTATTAATAAAACAAAATATTTATAGAAAAAAAAAATCAACTCGGCTTTTTTTAATAGATTAGTGTCTATTTTTAATATCCCTAGAAATAGAGTTGGTAGTAATAGGTCGGCCCACTTGAAGTTAGGGCCGAGCTCAGTTTCGTAGGTTAAGTTTTAATTCACGTACCAAATTAATTATTTAATTATTACAGCCCTAATTTAAATATTTACAATAAAATAAAATAATTTAGTAGACTGTCCTACTATAAAATTAATTCATTGTAATTTAATAATGTGAAACTTTTAGACGTAATTATCAATTTCTATTTTAACCAAAAGGTACCTATAAAATTAATGTCAGGACAAAAGAAGACAAACATGTACTTGATTAGCTATTTTAGTAATTGAATTTAATGGTAGTTTTAGTAATATAATCATTTATATGTTTTAGTAATGGTATATAAATTATTATATCAATTCAACTAATCCTAAATAAAATAGGATTGAGATTATGGAATGGAAGTGTCCAAATCAAATTTTAACCTTTAATAATAATATAATAATTAGTGACTTATTAAATAATTATAGAGCTAAAATGGAAAATAAAATCAGACAAGCCTCTCTAAATTAATTACCCACCCTACCATTGCTACCCAACTAATTTTGCTTAAAAACCTATTAAATTTATTATTTTCTCAAATTTTAATAATAATAAAGGAACTTTATTATATTATTGACCACAATATCAATAAAGGACAAAAACAGTAATTTGTATCTTTAAGATGTTTTTTTTACTGCCATAAATTATTATTATAAAAAAAATAAAAATATAAAAACCATAACAATAACAATATTTTAAAGCATTCTACGCCGAAATAACATAAACTCAAAAATAAATACGAAAAACAAACAAATATGAATATTAAATGACCCTCACGAGATTATTAAAACCTACAATGCTATTAACAAGGTCAAGAAGGGTTATTTAAATAAAAATAATAATAACGATAATAAAAATATTTTAAAACTCATTTTAAGTTATAATACGACAAATCGAACAATGTGATTTGAGAGTTTTCAAAAAAAAAAAAAGAAGAAAAAAAAAAAGGAGGAAGAAAATCGGAAAATCGTGAAGTTTCTTTTGAAGTTCACATGCGCACTAACCAACACAATTTCCCAAAACGACAAGTCGTTTTTCATTTCGATTCTATCTTACTAACTCTCTGTGTATATTCTCTATTCACAGTGTTGGACACCAAAATTACATCTCAATCCTTACCTTCTTCTTCTTCGTCTTCTTCTTCTCCACCGTAAACCCTAACCCTAGCCGTTTTCATTTCCCCTACGTTTCAGAAAATATGTTCCTCATCGCCGATGAACCTCGCTAAATCATCCTCATCCCAACTGGATCCCTCCGATATGGACGACGCCTCCTCCGACTTCCATAACTTCCATTTCTCCACAGTCGCAGAATCGATTTCCATCAGTTTGATCCTCGCTCCGTTCATGTCCACGCTTGCCATCACCGACGAGTCCGATTCCGAGAAAGACGAACCGCAACTCTCTTCGTTTCCATTGATCGTAACGAACGACGACGATGATTGAAAAATCATCGCCGATGAGTACGGATCGTCAATGAACTTCACTTTCTCCGCCATCGGCCGGCTTTTCTCAGCGTCGTCCAGAAGCATCATGAGTTCGCCGACTGTCTCCTCTTCCACCGAAATCCATGCCAGAATGTCGTTACCGACATCCTCCACCGCCGCCGCCGCTCGCGGCCTCTTCTGCGTCGAGTTCTCCGCCGGAACAAAATCATGCCTCTTCCGCGTTTCTTCCATGAGAGAGAGAGAGAGAGAGAGAGGGAGAAAACAAAATGTGGAGGTCGCTGAGAGTGTTGTGGAAGTCTGAGTGTGGTGAATTTATTTGAAAAGTGACGAGGCGAAAATACATCCATCCGGTTTGTTAGGTTGTTTTTGTAATAATGCAATCTCGAGGCAGCGTGTAAAACGTCGAAATAATCTACACCGTCCATTTTCCGGCCCCACTCTCCGATACCACGCCAGCCGTTTGATGCACGAAACTGTCGTTTTCAATAATTTTAAAAAGAAAAAGGCTACAAAAAACCAAAATATTTGTTGCTTACTTTGTAATGTTTATTTTTTGGGGTTTATTTTTATAAAAATTGAATATAAATATCAAACTAAGTTAAAAAAAAAAAATATTAAAAAACCGCTACTTCGTTGACCCGG